GTACAAACATAGTATCTGCATGTTTCATTGCAGTTGTTAAAGCAATATCTGTTCTTGCACCTGGGTCAGCACTTTGGTTTCCAACTTCACCTGCAAAGTCTTTGACAGATATTTGGTGTATAGGGAACATAAGTGGAACTGCAATATATTTGGCAGCTAAAGCATTTGAAATATCTGGGTCCAACATATAGACTGCAAGTCTGCTTTCTATTCTCTTGCATTCAAACTTTTCGCATGTGAACTTAACTGGGTCCCAAGCATCTCCAGCAGCATTGAAATAATAGTTTACTTCAGTGTTGAGGTTTGAGAAACCAAAGTCTAAGTCAACTTTGTTTTTTGCAAAAGTCGGCGAATGATTTTATTTGTTCCCACTACTTCTGTAAGAGTGAATGGGTCTTGTGTTGGTGCAATGACTAAGTTATTTTTGCTTGGTAAGTTCGATAGAAATTTTTCCTGCCCAGTTTGGCAAGTATCTTAAAAACCTGAAGATGAGGAAAGATGACAAAGGAACTCTAAGTTTCAGTTTTACTTTGTTAACTGCTGCTGGCAGTTTGTCCAGAAAGGTTAACATAAACTCCTGAACGTTAGGGTCAAGTCTTCTTATTTTCTCAATGGTGGCATACTGGTCTGTTTGTTCTCTAGCTTGTGGTTGTACTGAGTTTCTCAAGCGAACCATTCATAGTTTGCCCATGTTACTGTTTGAACTAAGTCAGAGTTAGAATATATCTTATATCCCATGAAAACTTCTGGAGCATATTGGTATCCGACATAGAAAATTCCATTGCAACCTTTCTTGTCAGACAACTTGGCAGAAGGTTTTATTTCAATGTCTTGTTCCACGTATAAGAAAGAGTTGTCAATAGAAATTATATGAAACCTGTCGCAAGCAATATCTACTGTTGTTGAAGAACCTTCTCCAAACTCACCTACGTTTCCATAAGAAACAGCAGTTGTATATTCGTAAGTTCCAGGAACTATTTCTGACCTTCTAATGGCATTGTCGCATTCGTTATACCATTCGGAAACATTTCCATTCATAGCATCCAAAACTGTTGGCGTTATATTCTGAGCGGCGTACATTTCATATGAGTAAAAATATAGAATAGTTGGATTTATATGTCATAATAGAACCCACGTGGACCAAGCTTTACTTTCTTCCTGACTGAGTTTTTAACTCTTCTTTTTCCTTCATTGCCCTCTGCTTGAAGTTGTTGCATCTTTGCATTATGTTCATCTAGTATGTTGCAAATTTCCCATGTCCTTTTTGCCTTTTGGCTCTGGTCGCCCATCTCAGGTAACCTATATCCTAGAAAGAGTTTGTCATAGTTTGTATTTGAGTCTTCGCGTATTGTTTGCATGACTCTTTCCTGAGTTTCCGGTTCAAGCTCTTCAAACAGTGCCTGTCCATATGGAATAAGCTCGTTTCCAAATATATGTTTTTGTAGCCATTCTGGTTTTCTTTCCATGTTACCAACTATATCTTTTGTGAATGGGAAAGCTTTTACCCAATCTTTCAGTCTTGCGTCGTTTATTTCTGTAGTTGGTTTTATTTTGTCAAGGAACATGTTTTTCAATACTAACATTTCATTTGGTACTGTCAATTTGAGTTTTCTTAAATATTCATCCCTTCTCAGTTCATTGTCTGCAAAGTAAGTTTTTATGACATTTTGCAAACTTTCATTTGCAAGGTCATGTACAATAGGTTCTCTTCCTTCTCTCTCCCTAACTGTCTTTCTAAACTCTTCACCAAATATACCATCTCTATGGTTCTGTGTAGTTCTTTGAGATAAATGTTCTAGAACGTCAGGTGTTATATTTCCATCAGCCATGTTCATTTCATACTGGTCCAAAATATCTGCATGTTTCATATCTTTCAATGGCATTAAAGCCGCGCTTAAAATACCAGCTATATCTGGTTCACCATTGACTTCCATTGCGTCTACAACTTCTTGGAATTGTGGTTGTAAGTTTATGAACCACACTATCCGGGTTAGCTTTATGACCCCATCTCATTGTAGTTCCATCGTCTGCAGAAACAAAAGTAGGTTTGTTTCCATCTTGGTTAGGTTCTGAATGAACTTTAAACAATGTTTCATTTCTATATGTTTCTTGAAATTTAACCTTTTATTTTCACCGAGTTCATCCGAAGATTGAACGTTAAATGCTCGTAAGTAAAAAGGGTTGTTGTATTTGTGTACATTTTCTTTCAGTGCTTCCATTCTATGCTGAATATTTTCATCTGGTGTTGGAGTCTTTTGTATGTCGGCAAAATTTTTCGATATTCTTCTACTATGTCAGCCGAATCTTTCTTAGACTCTTGGAAAGATTCCATATTCACCTCATGCTCTTGTTGAGGTCAAGATTTTTTCGGCTGTTCCAAATCTTCATCTAGTTCTGTGAAGTTAGTTTCCAAGGAGTGACTTGTTCGTTTCCTTCAGGCTCTTCTAGCTGTTGTTGCTGAACTATTTCTTCCATGTCTGGTTGTATCTGAACTTCTTCCTGTGGAGTTTCTTGTACCTCATCTGGTGGCATTTCATATATTCCGAGACCGTTTTCAACAATTTCCCTATCTACGTCATCCGCATTCATAAGCTTTTGTTCTTTCGTTCCGTCTCTATTTTTTACGCGTTTCATGACGAAAGTTGAATTGTCATTTAGCTCTGACATCAAATATCTCGGAGTAAATTCATCCATGTCATTTGGATGATATGCTATTAAATCATATCCCTTAGCGAGCTTGTATTTTTCCAGGTTTGAGATTATATCCGTTTTGGTGCTGAGCCATAAAGCTAAATAGGTTTCGGGTCAGTATTTCCATCCTTGAACTTTCCAATAGCTTCTTTATATCTGTCACTAAAGTCAACAGTATCTGGGAAACCACACTCTTCTTTAAGCATTTTTAAGAATTCTTGGTTTCCTTGTTCTCTACTTCTTTTATGTCCTTGCTCTGTTTGTGGTTGTTGTTGTGCAGGGTTTTTGAACTGTTGGTTGCTGTGCTGGTTGTTGTGTTGGTTGTTGTGCTGGTTGTTGTGTTGGTTGTTGTTGTTGCGTTGGTTTTGGTGCATGCCTGTGTCTGTGTCCATGTGACGATGTAAATGTTTTAGGTAGTCCTGGTGCAGGTGCTTCTCTTGGAGGGTTTGGTGGTATATAAGTTCCACCAGCTGGCACATATGTTCCATCTGCAGCGTAATGTCCTACCTGACTTTTCGTTTTTAAGAAAGCATTTACTAGGTCTGTTTTGGTCTGTTGTAACTCTTTTTCTTGACTTTTCACAACAGTTGCTCTAACGGCGTCATAGGCACTTTGAACTGCCTGTCTCGTTGCTGCATCTGTTATTTTCGTCATATTTTGTGCTACTTCTTTTAACTCTTTGTCGAAACCTTCAGACTTCAGTTTCTTTCCAGATGAGAAGTCGTTCACTTGTTTCACCTTACTATGAAGAGCTTCGAAAGCGTTCTTAAAGTCAGCATTTGTTAAAGCTTCATTTGAACTGTCTTCATCCGCTTGTATTTTTGTCCTTATTGACCCTATAAGCTGGGCTGCTTTAGCGTTGGCTTGGGCATCTAACCAGTCATTGTTAGCTTTTATATATTCTGAGCTTTTCATTGCCTTTTGCATGGCTGCGTCGTTATTTTTACTTTCTTGTGCTAAGTTTTCATACTGTACGGTTTGGTTTTGCAACTGTAAAAGTTTTTCTGCCTTTACATTTGCTTCAACTTCTTTTTTTATACTCATCGCTATCCATATATGTCTTCAGGGCTTTTTGTTTTATTTCTTCATCTTTCAGTACTTTATATTGAGTAGTATGGTTTTTCAAATTTATGACATCTTGTTCCATTTTTGCTACTTCTGCTGCTTTTTCTGACACTTTTTTCGCATATTCCTCTGTACTTAGTTCTTTCAGTTGTTCTTCTTTCTTCTTTTTCTCTACGTTTAACTCATTGAGTTTCTTTGTGTGTCTGTCATATTCTAGTTTCTTTTCGTTTTCACTTATTTGCTTCTGTATGTCTATGTTTGACTTTTTGACATCTGTTATTTGATTTTTGAGTGAACTCAAATTCATTTGACTTTGAGGGTTATAGGCTGTTCCGTCTGCAGCTCCACCATAGCCTGCCATTTTCGCTAAAAGTGCCGCTCTTAAACCTCCACTCTGTGCACCAACAACTCGGTTTAAAAGCATAGGATTGCTTGACATTTGTTGCAACATAGTGGGGTCATTCAGCATTTGTTGTTGCAACTGTTGTTGTGGTGTCAGTTTTACTATTGGATGTTTCAATGCTCTCTTCCTCTTACGTATATTCTTACGTAGCTTACGTGGCATTTTAAGTGAAGTTAAAAACATTTACGATGAAGAAGTCTTGACAAAACATTTACGATGAAATCATGAAAATTCATGAGGTGAGAAAACAGGTGAGAAAAGAGGTGACATCTCACCTCTTCACCTAAATTATATTTTTGGGTCATTTACGCTCATTACGAAGAAGTCTTGACAAAACATTTACGAAGAAGTCTTGACAAAACATTTACGAAGAAGTCTTGACAAAACATTTACGAAGAAGTCTTGACAAAACATATACGATGAAATTCATGAGTTTTCTACGATGTTAGAAAACATGTTAGAAAAGGTGTTAGATCTAACATTCTAACATAAACATTATTTTTTGGTCATTTACGCTCATTACGATGAAATCATGACAAAACATTTACGAAGAAGTCTTGACAAAACATTTACGAAGAAGTCTTGACAAAACATTTACGAAGAAGTCTTGACAAAACATTTACGATGAAGTCTTGACAAAAAAGTCAACGGCTGGTCGGCTGGGGTTCGGTCCTCCTCTTGGGTCTTGGGAAAAATTCTTAGGGCTAGAAGGCACGAAGTGCCTGGAAGCCCCACTTCCTTTTTTTTTTTTTTTTTTTTTTTTTTTTTTTTGATTTGTTGCTTAAACGAGAAAACCTTATCTCTTTTTGGAGGAAATTTTTGACAGATTTTTAAATTTTTGATGTTTTTTTGTTTTCTCTCAATTGTTTTGGCTGCTATTATTGACGAAAATGGGGTTTACGGATATACATATGATAACCGTGACTTTTTTATATTAGCACTGCCAAATCTCATTGGATGGGGTCTTGGTGCTGATGATACTTACCGTGCAGAGAAATCAACATCACCAGGCGATCTTAATATCCCAGAGTCTATCGAACTAAATGGAAAAACCATGGATGTTATCGAAATTTGTACTGTTGCATTCAAAGAATCTAAATTAACAAGAGTAAAGTTTCCTTTGACAATAAAAACAATTGCAGACAATGCTTTTGAGAGCTGCGAAATCGAAGTTATCGATCTATCTGAAACAGCAGTTACTGAAATTCCAAAAAATTGCTTTTTAAATGCAAATAAATTAAAAACATTACTTCTACCTCATTCAATGGCAAGTTGTACCGATACATCATTTACTGGAACAAGTATAGAAGTTCTAGGCTTAGATAATGCATTAAATTTCATTAATCTTACAGAATTTAGTACTCTTACGCAAGTTATTTTCTATGATTACGTATCTACAATACCAGAATTGTATTTTTATAACCTTCCTCAGCTGAAAAAATTAATATTCAATCAAAATCCAACAATTTTCCTAGATTCATATCGAAAGCTTGAAGAAGTCGTAATGAAACCACTCAGTTTGAAGCCTGTTGCAAAAATTACGCCTAATTTTCAACAATTAATTAAAAATGATAAATTTATTCCGAAAACTCGCAAAATCAAATCGAGGAAATACATCTTTGAAGATAGTCCCGATGGAAAACTTAATCTAACAGAGTTACAAGTAAAATCAATCGGAAATTTTGCATTTCAAAACGATACATCGATAACTTACATAGAAGCGAACACTTTAACATCCATAGGAGTCGGATCCTTCACCAAATGCTCAAATCTCCAAAAAGTTGATTTGTCAAATTCAAAATTAACGAAAATTGGGGCTCTTTCGTTTGCAGACTGCACCAATTTAGAATATATAATGCTTCCTTCGGAGTTAACTGATGTTTCCTATACTTCTTTTTCAAATTCTTTTCCAACAATTGTGAAATTATCGGGAAACTCAGTTCTTTTCCAAGGAAACACCACTGGAATGAAATATATAGGACCATCTAATACTTTATTTGGTAATCTTGTTGCAACAAGTGGAAAAGACGAAGGAATTAGTTTAGATGTCGAAAATAGTCAGCTTCCAAACACTCCAGCAGGGTCTCGTTATATTCCTTTACCAACAGTTGCTGTCGCGACGCCGAAAAGAGAGTTGAATGTTACTTATCTCGTTGTTTGCATTGTTTTAGCTGTTTTGTTGATTTGCGTCATAATTTTGAACATTGTTTTCGCAAGAATTCACGTGAAACTGAAGAAAAGAAACGCTTTGATTCTCTGCTCAGATGAAGAGCAGCTAAATAAGTGAATTATTTATATTTTTGTTTTGTTTATTTTAAATTTTCTTTTATGTTCCTGAATTTTTCAGATTTTTTTTTCCCTACAAGTGCAAAAAACGCTCAAAAACGATTGTTTTACATACATTCTGAGCATTATTTGTGTATTTAAAAATCAATCCGCGTAGAGCAGTTACTTAGGCACATCTGACTTTAATTCAAAATTCTGACATCTGATGTGAAGTAAATTCCAGGAAACATCTCAATTTTTAACTTAAAAAAAAGCTATTTTGTAAGAAGGGATTTTAATTTTTCTTTCATTTTTAAATGATGTATTCTATATATGCTGTGCATTATAAAAATGAGACTTTTAAAAAAAAAAAAAAAAAAAAAAAAAAAAGGAAGTGGGGCTTCCAGGCACTTCGTGCCTTCTAGCCCTGAAGATGTTTAGTATAAATGAAGTTCTTATATACGGGTCTTCCAGGAGCTTTTCACAAATTATATATGTTTTCATGTTTTGTCAAGACTTCTTCGTAAAATCAGACAAAAATAATGTTTAGGGTAGAAGGTTAGATATAACCTCTTTTCTAACCTCTTTTCTACCCTCTTGAATTTTCAAGACTTCTTCGTACATGTTTTGTCACTTTTCTGTCACTTTTCAGGAAAAAACATTTTTATTATATATATAAAATGAATTTTACAAAACCACCGTTACCCTTCTTTGGAAATAAGAGTAGATGTAAAGATATTCTATTGAGAGAACTTAAGAAACTACCGAATGGTCTAACATTTGTAGATTTGTTCGGTGGAAGTTTCTATATATCTCATTTGTGCCATATACAATATTTCCTGACTCAAAGATTATATGCAATGACTTCGACAACTATATGAACCGTCTCAAACATATACCAGACACAAACAAAATATTGAAAGAGTTAAAAGAAAAGATACCTATAGGTAAGATGGAACGTATACCATTAGATAAGAAAAATACTGTCAGAGAGGTTTTGAAAAAGGCAGAGTATATTGACTGGGATAGTATATCTGCTAGACTATTATATAGTGGTGCTATAAGAGTTCATGACATTGAAACACTTATGTCAAAAGTTTTATATCTTAACTATACAAATGTTTTCAAAGAGAACATAGAAAAATATATTGAGGGTATAGAGTTTGTGAGATGTCATTGGACAGAGTTGTATGAAAAATATAAAGACAAGGAAAATGTTTTCTTTATAGTGGACCCGCCGTTCTATAACACATGGGATTTTCAATACCAAGTAGACTGGACTTTGAGAACTCTTTAGAAACTTTAGACGTTTTACATAACCATCCATGCTTTTACTTTACATCCGATAAAAGTGGTTTGGAAAGTGTCATGAGATGGTTAGAGGACATACATGACTATGAGTTTAGATACGATAAGATAGAATATGAGAGAGGTCCTATAAACTGGAGAAAGTGTCATAACAAAGAAATTTTACTAGTAAGTAAATGTGGTTTGAAATAGGACTACTTGTTTTAGGTTTTTTCCATTGTGTCATTTACTTATTTGACGTGGCAGAAAAGTACAGAGAATATGAAGATGAACCAATGCCTGCAAATGTTCAGTATATGTACTCGTAAGAGATATTTTTATCTAATATTAAATGGACGCACAGAACTTAGCGAATGCACAGCAACCTGGACAACCAAACCCAGAGAATATTCCAAATGAAGTTAGAATACAAACTGCAATGGCAAACTATGGTCAAGTGCCAACAGATGTACAAATGCAAACTGCCATGTCAAATGACGCTGCGTTAGGTTTGCCACCATGGTATGCAAATATGAGATGGAAAGAGTTTTATACAAACCCTGAAGTGGGATATAAACAACTTTATGCAGATGACGCGAACACAGGAGTTGACCCAGAATATGTTTTCTACCAGAGGAGAAATAGAATGTATGAGCTCCAGTTAAAAATGCTATGGAACTCAGAAGGAAACGTAAGAGACTAGGCGGACATTAGATTTTTACATATAGTAAAATGGGTTTCTTCAGTAGTATTGGAAACTTCTTTCAGAAAGTTGGAAGAGGTATATGGAATGGAATAAAAACCGTAGGAAGAGGAATTTGGAACGGTGTCAAAAATATTGGTAAAAGAGTAGGTCAGTTCGTTGGTATTATACCTAAAGACCCTGAACCAGAAGAACAAGCTCCTGTTATACAACAGCCTGAACCTGCACCACAGTCAAGTTGGCAACCAAATCCAACACCTCAACCGTATTAAAAATTATATTTTTACCGTTCGATAGTAGTTGTATATGAAACTAAGTTCTAAGTAAAACGCATGGTATAATGGAACTATTCTCTTTCTTCCATCTGTAGTAAACCATACTTGAAAGTCTGAAATACTTCCACTCGGTGGTTCATATAGCTTTGTAGGTTTTTCGTAAAAGTCATTTGCCAAGCATAAAAAAGAGTTTTGTGCGCCAGAAAATGAAGCATGAACTATAATAGCATCTGAGTCGAAAACATTTTCATATGTTCCATTAGGGTTTTCGACTTCATAAAAGTTCGGGTGTACTGGATATTCTGCAGGCTGATTTAACATCCTCAAAAACCTATACCATGCCAAGTTGTTATATTTTGTAGAAATATAAACGTCTTCTCCAAGGTCTTCTATTCTATTGATTTTAACAGTTGCATTTTTCCTGTCATATAAAATATCGAGATGGTACTCTCCTTCGTCAATGTTGTACTGTTTTGCATATTCGAGATAGATATCGTTTATTTTTTCTTGAAAAGCTTGAAGAGTTGTTTCTAAGTTTACAAGCAAACTAACTTGTAAAAGTTTTCCCTGTACAAATTTCTCATACGTACGTTTTTCTTTGTTATAGTATCGAACTTCAAAAGCGACCGTAAATGGGAAACCATGTATGGCTTCTGAAATGAACTTCATTCTACGAAAGCCAATAGCTTTTGTGACGGATGGGTCTCTTAACCATCTTAGTGGGTAGTCAAAACGATAGCCTTCATGCTTTACGGTCTCTGTCTCAAACTTTTGACCGACATTCGTAAAAAGTTCATCTAATGGTTTAGTTGTAGCAACTCTAGAATTTTCTTTTTCTATTGAAAGCATATTTTATCTAGAATAAAAATGTCGAAAGAAACAGCGTCTATGAGAGAAATACAACACAACCGACAACTCATTGTACAAGCTCTAAATAAGAACACAACAAACTTTTCAAACTATTCTAAGATATCTGAGTCATTGAAAGAAGGAAACTTAAAACTGACATTAAACCCATTGACAGACGAGTTTCTGTTTCAAGACAGTAAGAACCATACTGTTTGTATAAATCCAACAAAAAGAACTTTAAACGAGAAACCTATAGATGAACTTCTTTTGAAAGCAGATATTGACAACAAAGCTGACAAAGAGTATGTAGATGCAACAAGAGACTATATTCTCGCATGGACAGATAGAACATACCCACAAAAACATCATACACATAACATCTATGACGTAGATGAACTACCAGCAATGTTAGATGACAAAGCAGATAAAACATATGTTGACAATAAAATGTCAAGTGAAGTGACAAGAGCTGACAAAGAATATTCTAAAAAGACTCATACACATACCATATCTGATATTACAAACTTACAAGAAACCTTAAACAGGAAAAGTGACGTTGGACATACACACGATTTCTTCGCAACTGTTGGTATAGAAAATATTGAAGGAACGGTTGAAGAAACTGGTGGGGATGTATTAAATTGGAAACCTCCTAACTTTCCACAAGGTTTAACATCGGAAGAAGACATAACAACGATGAGATACATTAGATGTAGAAATGTCTATGTCATGGAGGATGAAAACAAAGTTAAATTCACTGCTCAAGATTTATATGATAAAAAAGCTGACAAAACATATGTTAACGATGAGTTAGATAAAAAAGCTGACAAAACATATGTTAACGATGAGTTAGATAAGAAAGCTGACAAAACAGAGCTTCAAACGTTAAAGACAGAAATACTTCAAACAGTATATCCTATAGGTTCTATTTATACGTCAATGAACTCTACCAGACCAGAAGTTACTTGGTTTTGGAACTTGGACTCAAATAGTCGACAGGTTTTTGTATTGTGCAAACTCTTCAAAGGAAACAGGTGGAAGTAAAACGATTTCAGGTGAAAATTTACCTGCACACAGTCACTACGTAGATTTAAGTACATCTCAAGCAGGTTGGCATAAGCATAATTTTGGGATTGGCACGCTTGAAAAAGGTAAAGGATATGATGTTAAAGACGACGTTCAGTTTGCTATAAATTGTTACTGGAGTGACACTCAGGGAGATGGAAACCATACACATCGCGTTTACAGGATATACACAAACAACGGGACAAAGTAAAGACTACATGCCACCTTACATGACAGTTTACGCATGGTATAGAATTGCTTAGTCGTCATTTTCAACTTCTTTAGCATATTCGTCAGGAGTTGTCTTATATTTGTTAGGAACTGTCTTTGAAAGTATACCACCTTGAACTTTGACAAGTTTGAAACGAGGTCTGACAATAGTAGTTTTATCTTCTGCTTGCAGTGTACATTTTGCCATGTTTGCCTAAAACTTCATAATATTCTCTTGTATACTTTCTTCTATTTTTACGAACACGAATGTGAGTACCTGTCGAGTTCCCATTGTTGTCATAGTCAATAGTATTTTCATATGGGTCGCGTTTAGGTATTTCTATTTTTACTTTGTCACCTTTCTTAAGTTTGAAGCCTGGCATTCTTTCTTGTTTGTCTCTTTTGACTAAACTATTAAATATATAGTCTTTCTCTAAGTCAGGGTTGTTTTTCATTTCTTCGGGGGAGTGGTTTCCCAAACCTTTTTGTTTACGGCTATTGTAAATATTTAAAACTTGTCTCATCTTTGCCATGGAGAAGTGTCTATACTTGTCGTCATATGACATTTCATCTACCTCACCACCTTGTGGTTGGTTTAAGTCTCTTAAGATTTTTATACAACTGTCAATGACA